ATATGACATTTGTAGATTGTCTTTTAAGAGATATTTTACGAATAAGTTACCAGCTTCCACTATTAATTGGGAACGCCAGCGGTGTGTGTGTGTGTGTGTGCGTGCGTGCGTGAGTGCGTGCGTGCGTGCGTGCGGTCTTTGCACCTGAGTTCTCAACTCCACCCACTTGCCATTGTAGGGATTGTCTTTGATGCTTCACAGTAGGAAGGGGACTGTCATAGATGGACCTCTAGTGGGGAACTCTTGAGTCATCATTGGGGTGTCTGCAGGACCTAATAAGCCAGTGGTTGATTGACCTTTGTAGGAATACAAGAATTATAAATAACGCTTTCAATGTGTGTCGATATTCCCTACGACATATTTCTTTTTTATGCATAAGATTTCAAGAACTAGTCCACCCAAATGTAATATTTTAGGTTTAGTTGAAGCCTGATGGGCTTAGTCATAGGTACATGAGATTCTCCAAAAGGAAGATCTCCTTGCTATAGTTCCTTGCTCTGTTTCTGTCTACTTTTTGTGTTGCTGCCCACTCTGTGTGTCCCTATTGCCGCCTTTTGTATTCCAACTGCTCCTGCTACATTCTCCAGATAAAACAATAAATGATCCATTCCAGCAGGGAGACTGAAACCCCTCATAATGAACACAGCAAGTGTGCAAATGAAAGACTCCGGTTTTAATTGCCAGGTGGTTGAACTTTCCAGCATCTACCAAACATTGAGATATATGTTTTGGGTGGCCTGGTCCTTTAACAATTTCTTTACATGAGGGCAAACATATCTCCTTATTATACACTGACCCTGTTCTCTCTTTATAGGAACAAGAACAATGGTTGTGCCTACAGAAAGGTTTTGTCCTTCACACACCTTACAGGCTTGCCTACTGCAAGGAATATTCAATGCATTGTAGTAGACCAATGCAGGTTCCAGCACGTGGGCAGGGCCGGATTTCCCACAAGGCCAACCTCGGGGCAGCGGGGAGTAGAGGGGCAGCAGGGGTGTGGAATTCCTATCTCCCGACACCCAGGACGTGCAATTTCCGGGCGCCGGGGCTGGTAGTTGTTTTCTACATTTAGCCCTGCTTTGGGCAAGCAGGGCTAAATGAACAGCAGGGAAGCCGCCGCTTGTTTCGTACAAGTGATCTCGCCGATGTCACCGAGATCACTTGTATGCGGCCTGCATACAGGGGGGGCGCATTGAGGAACCTGGCCTTGGGGCAGCAGAGAGAGTAAATCCGTCCCTGCACGTGTGAAATGTAAAACGCAATGAAATCTCACTCTATTGTGTGCTCAGCTTTTACTGAAGGCTTCAACCCTTGAAGAAAGCATTGCCTTGTTAGCGAACTTTAACTGCAATAAAGTTACAAGTTGAAGATAGTGTAATAATGGCATCCATTAGAGGCCCATTTTCATGGGAATGTGGGGACTATTATTGGTGTTTTTGTGTGTTTTTCCCATATTTATCTATTACAGTTACTGCCCCTTTAAGAAACTTTAACTGACGTTTTATCGGCGGGAAAATACTTTTTTTGGCGGGAAAACATTGCTGCAAGGATTTCTAGAAGCTTCCACAGCCACACTATATAAGGAGGTGCTCCAAGTAATCATCATCAGTTGGAATCCTGATTTTCAAGCTCCCTAGCCCCCCCTCCCTAGTCGCTGTGTTTTATGTGGTTTGTCACCTCATACGAGGGGGACTATTCCCTTCAGTGATGTATTGCTCGAGTTTCAATAACTGGGCAATTCGGTTGGTTTTAACAATTTAATGGTTGATTGATTCTAGTTGGTTATTAAAGATTAAACTAATTATTTATTCCAATAAAATGCCGCGGCCAATTAATGCCAATACAAATAACATAGCGTGTTTGTTGTTATTTATTTAAAGTTAGTGTAAGCATATGTCGCCTACAGTCCCATGGAAGTCTGAACGCAAGGTGTGGCATTATCTGTAGAAAATAAGTCGAGGCAACTGGACTTGCTGTATTTTTCTTGAAGACGTTTTCACTGGTCATCCAACCAGCTTTCTCAATCAGTAAAGTCTCAATACAAACTTATTTTTACCTGAGATAGTGGTGCACGGAGACAGTATATGTGATACAAATGCATACCTATGTGTTCTTTCTGCACTAGCGGTAGTCCAATTCAGAGATGATTTGAGGGTCTATAGCCAAATAAGATACATTGTTGTTAATAGTTGAGTTACTCGAATGTATTTTTAAGATTTAACTCCTGAGTTTAGTGTCACTTTAAGTCTGCCCTATACGGGGGTCGTGCTGCCTTACACCGGGGGTTGTGCTGCCCTACCCGGGTGTCGTGCTGCCCTACCCGAGTGTCGTGCTGCCCTACCTGGGTGTCGTGCTGCCCTACCTAGGTGTCGTGCTGCCCTACCCGGGTGTCGTGCTGCCCTACCCGGGTGTCGTGCTGCCCTACCCGGGTGTCGTGCTCACCTTCTTTCTTCAATGCATTGAAGATATAACTAATTTCTGACTTTTATCTGACTTTCCTGATCTGCACACTTGTTCCAGGTCAGTATCTCCAACCATTAAGCCTTTGGGGTCATCATGCCAGCCAGGAAACAAGCATTTTCAGAACAAGGTCAGCAATGGTGGTCCATATTCCTCCCAATATAAGCCAAATATGATTTTTTTTTTTTTTCTCCTTCTACTACATCAAAGCACTTATTTTGTTGCAAGAGCCGAAGCAAAAGAAAACACTAAAGATGACCTTCGTTTCAACCCGAAGCATAATAAATACACAATTGCTAGCATTGTACATAAATTTAAATTGTAAACCCGTGGATAAGCGTTTCCGCTACTAAGCGGGCCTTTAAAAGAGACTATTTTTACTTGGTGGAGAAAAAATCAGAAATTTTTACATGCCCTACTAAAAATGTCCTTCTGTAATTAGTGTCTTGTGCTTAAGTTAAGCTATTACTTGATTGGCTCATTGTCGTGCCTTAAATAAATAACACAAATTAGATTATTTCATGGAAAGCCTATTTAGAAGCGCTTGAAGATAATCCACCAAAGGTCATAGAGGAGACAGGCCTTGACATAATAAAAAAAAAAATAACAAAAAAGCTACATTGGTTTTTTTATGTTTAATGCACCTCTATTCCAGCCGCCATGCATGCAATAATAAATTTAGCTAAACAAGCAAAATAGGCCTGCTGGTTGGTTGGTTTTCTAGATAGCATCTACATATTTTTGAAACGAACAACCTTCTAATAGAAATGAATAAGCTACTCAAGCATAAAGTTGCAGTGGAAGATATGCTTGTTCTGATTGGAAAGGGCATCTGCTATCTAGCGTATTGATAATACTTTTCAAATTTCATCTGCTTTTGTTTGCGTTCTGCGTCGTCTGTTTAAACACACTGGGAATAATAATGAATCCCAGCATTATCTACACTTTTTTTTTTCAAGGCCGAACATATAACTTTATCACAGAAATAATTAAAATTCTTTGGCACCGTAGTACTATTTCCATTTAAACGTTATCAGCCGGTAACAATAAACTAAAGAAAGTCCAAGGCTGGCCCGTATGTTGGTTTTAGAAAAATAAAATAATAATAAAAAAGGAAAAAAAAATAAAAAATAAAAGTGTCCTTTTGTTAAATAAAATTTTTTTTTTTTAAAGTTCCATTCGTCGCAGGGTCAATTTATTCAATGTTTTTCTTATTTTTAAAAAAATTAACATACCGGATTGAGATTCCAATGGAGATTAATTGTACTGTATGGTTGCACGTGAGAGTTGTTTTACAAGAATCTATCCTATTCATACAGAATCTTGATTCCTATTCAATAAAATAGACCAAAGC